TAAGTATTTATTCTAAGTATTTAATTTATTCTAAGTATCAGATATTTTCATATGTTCCAATATATACACTAATATGAGTGTCATTGAAAATCTAATTATAATATAGGATAAATAAATAATTCCAAAATATTCCACAATTCGTAACCGAAATTTTAATAACGAACGATGACGAAACGAAATTTTAATAAAATATTCCTGACTTAAAAATCCTTATATTTAAATATCGAAGTTACAATAGTTTTTAAATTAATTCGGTATATATATTTAAAATAATTCGTACATAAAGGAAAAGCCATTATTATAAGATATCGAGTTCATTTTGAATAAATGTTAGAAGCAATGCTATGGGCAAAATTTAAAAAAATAATAGGTCATTTTGAAGAGTATTTAATAAGCTTTAAGATAATGTTATATAAAATTTAATTTAAATTTCTTTTTTTTTGAAAATTAAAGAAATATAAAAGTGACCAAATCGCAAAGTCAATAAATTGTGCTCCTAATATGAGATGCTCCGAGAAAATCGATGGTAAAATGCAAACTATATCAATATTGCAATTATAAAACTTTATTTAATGTTTCTAAAATACGAAACAAACACTATCAGCGTGCGCGAAAAATGAGCATGCGATAGATTATACCCAGGAACTTTTTAAAAATAACAAGTTACAGTTATTAGTTACCGATTTTTAAAAGTAACTCGTTATAGTTATTGTTATTTAAGAAAGTCAAATTTTCGTTATTCGTTTTTAAAATCGACGATCACCAATCACAACGGACGGATCTAAAGTTTTCCTAATTTCAAGCGCTATATACTGTAAAAAATTTTTGTGTAAAATTACAACTATTATAATGAATAATTTGATGAGACTATAACAGTTGTAAATTTATTTACGCGTTTGTAAATTTGCAATATGCAAATAAAAATAATTCTTGGTTTATAACTAAGCAGATTGTGAAAGTACAATTACAATGTGTAGTCATAGGAATGTATAGTCATAATATGACAATGCATTTCGCACTATATATTATTATATATATAACAGCAATACGCGAAAAATTACTGTTATACTATGTAATATTACTAAAATTTGGATAATTACAGAAAATATTCAAAATATCTTTCTATTTACGTAATTTTCATTTACGTAATTTTTCATATAAAATATTTAAAATAAAAGATATTTACACAATAAAAATAAATTTATATAATTTATATAATTTATATATAAAAATTTATATAATTTATGTGCAATTACAAAATTTTTGTGAAATTACATGATGTTTTTTTATATTTGCAGGACTAATCATGTAATTTTTATATTTATTATATGTAAATTTATGAAACTTTTTCACTCATAGTGTGAATGGCTTGTGTATCGTATCTAACCGTGTGTAAAGTAATGATGAAAGTAACTATAAAACTTTGTTACCATTACCAAAAAAAATGTAATTTTGTTACCGTAACAGTTACCAAAAAAAAAGATAACGCAGTTACTAATAAAGTAACTGTAACTTCATTACAAACAACGAGTTACTTCCATTCCTTGATTATACTCAGAATTCGTCTTCAGATAGTTAGAATCAAGCATCGCAGAATAGGCACTTGAAGTTCATTCCCGATATCTTTTATTATTATACAATAACATTTACTTTAGTAATGATTTCCACTATGACATAGGAGCATAAATTATTTCATATTAGAAGATACTCTGTATTTCATATACGATTTCCACGCCTTACGGTTTTATAAATATCAAATCTAACTTCTGTAATTAAGCAATCCAACATATCCCGTATTTTTTTATTAGTACAACCTTATTCTATCACTTACACATGAAGAATTTATTGCTAAATATTTATTTATTAAATAATAAACAAGGTTTAAAGGCTCATTTCAATGAAATTTGAAGACATCCAAATTCTAAAATCTTTTTTTACAATGACTACAGGCATAACCTAATAATGAATTTTCTACTAAATAGTTTTTAATCCAAGAGCAATAAATTCATAATGGAATTAATAGATAGCGTTTATTAGTTTAGCAGAAACGCCGTTCTCATATTAGGCGTCTATCTCAAAATAAGGAGCTTTCCTCTATTTATTATTTTTAATATTCTATAATATTTTTACGTTATGTACATTGCATATATCATTATTTTTTATGTTTAAACATGATTAATGAAGTATTACATTATATATTATTATTTTAATCTCACATGGAGTGAACATATCGTACGATCATCCGCTTGTGTGAACTATCCCTGAGCGCGCGAAATGTTAACTCTGTGATTAGTTAATTTCAACCGCTATTAATTTAAAAACTATTATAGCTTCGACATTTTGATATTAAAATTTGTGTCTTATTTTTAAATCAGGAATATGCGAGTATAACGACTTAATGTAATCGTGGGAAAGTCCTCGAAATCATAAAATTCGAATAAAATTTCTATGTATAATCCGATAATTACATATGCAACCATAAAAAATTATTGTATAATATTAAATAAAATCGTATATTTTATCAAATGACTTTATATATATATAATGATATATATATACATATATA